CGAGGTCCAGGGAGAAATACAGCGCGAAGACACCAACAAAAAATAACAACTGGCTGAACACGGTGAAACCCCGTCTCCTACTAAAAAATACAAAAAACCTTAGCTGGGCGAGGTGGCGGGGCGCCTGTAGTCCAGCTACTCGGAGGGCTGCAGGGCAGGAGAATGGCGGTAAACCCAGGAGGTGGAGCTGCAGTGAGCCTGAGATCCGGCCACTGCAACTCCAGCCTGGCGCAGAAGGCGAGACTCCATCTCAAAAAAAAAAAAACAAAACAAAAGAGTATATTTGGAAGAAGGGGTCAGGGACACTCTTTACTTCTAGTATAAGTCCCTGAGCCTCGATAGGCCCTTCATATTTAATGAATCAAGGAGATAGGAAGAGGTGCTGAGTGGGTCACAACCCTCCGGCTTTCAGCTCCCAATACCATTTCTTTTTTGTATAATTTCTTCTTGATAATTTATGCTTACAGATTTCTGTTTTCAAGAAAATCATGGGGATTTTTCCATATAGAAAAAAAATTTCAAGATGTATCATCTTGACCTGAACTTACCACATTTTTGAGCTGATCTGTGTCCTTCACTTTAGATTAATGGTAATTTCAAATGTTTACTGGCAACCACCAAGTTTTAATTCAGTAGTATCAGGTGAATAAACAATTAGAACACCTGCAAAATTAGGTTATCGTTTTTTTTTTTTTTCTTTTTTGTGAGACGGAGGTCTTGCTCTGTAGCCCGGGCGCTGGAGTGCAGTGGCCGGCATCTGCAGCTCACTGCCCAAGCTCGCGCCTCCCGGGTTTCGCGCCATTCTCCTCCGGAGTAGCCTGGACTACAGGCGCCCGCCACCCTCGCCTGGCTAGTTTTTATGTATTTAGTAGAGATTGTGGGGTTTCACCGTGTTGCCAGGATGGTTCGATCTCCTGATCGTGATCCGCCCGTGCGTCCAAAGGTCGCTGGGAGTCAGGCTTGGAGCCACCCGCCCGCCAAACTTAGAGTATTTTCTAAATATTATAGAAATTGCGTTTATATATATCTCTGTGTGGACCCAGCTTCCAACACCCACACCTGTAGGGTACCAATAAGTCAGTGGCGATGAGAAAATGAGAAGAGTCAGTGTAAGAGTTGGCATGAAGGGTGGGTGCTTGGGAGGCCGAGTTGACTTGTAGGCTGGCAAAACAGCGCAGAAGTTCTGGTCTCCAGCATATTGATTGGAGTACGTCACTTAGAGTAAGAAGCAGAATTACAGACACATGAAACAGGTGTGTCATACACCGTAACTTATAGATGGTAGTTTGGGTACATTTTCTTTAGAGACTGAACTGCAGCATAAACTTAACTACTGATTTATTCTTTAACTATCAGCAAGAGCAGCTGTGGGCGCGAGTGGGCCCTAACTGGGAGGCCAGCCATATCATCGGCCACAATCACCAATGCTTCAAGAGGATACTTTCTCCTTGAGCGGCGGCGTGTTACTCATAAATAAGAGAGCAGGTCGAGCGCTGTTGGTCATGGACATGACGAGTAGTAAGGAGGCTTTCTCCCTCAGGAGACCTCCTGTGTATCCTTTCACAACTTATTGATCCCATATTTTTTGTGGCCAGTTTATACAGGCACCCCACCAAGCTTTTTCCCAACGTTTTAATGAAGAATATTCTATTACATACTCTTTACTGAGCACATTACCAAGTTGTTAATTGGAGAATATGAGCAAGAGGCATGTTACTTATTTTTAATAAAACAGGTATTGCTGTCTCTAAGCCAGACCTGATCATTTTTCTGGAGCAAGGAAAAGAGCCCTGGAATATGAAGAGACATGAGATGGCGGAAGAACCCCCAGGTAGGTGAGAGTGAATACAATAGACGACATTCATGAGAGGTCCAAGGTCAAGGAGAAAGCCGTCCTTAAAGTGATATGGAAGCTGTGTTCCAAAATAAACGGTTTCTGGAAAGCCTAATTTTTATTTTTATTTTTTAAATTTTCTCTCACACAGGGGCATCTTCTGTCTTATGCTTTCTTTTTTTTTTTTTTTTTTTTTTTTTTTTGAGGTGGAGTCTCGCTCTGCCGCCCAGGCTGGAGTGCCGTGGCCGGATCTCAGCTCACTGCAAGCTCCGCCTCCTGGGTTCACGCCATTCTCCGGCCTCAGCCTCCCGGAGGCTGGGACTACAGGCGCCTGCCACCTCGCCCGGCTAGTTTTTTGTATTTTTAGTAGAGATGGGGTTTCACCGTGTTAGCCAGGATGGTCTCGATCTCCTGACCTCGTGATCCGCCCGTCTCGGCCTCCCAAAGTGTTGGGATTACAGGCTTGAGCCACCGCGCCCGGCCTGTCTTATGCTTTCAAAATTTCTAAGAATTCTTTCCCTTCAGTAATCTTCAAGTTTACAGTGACAGCCAAAGTACTGTTCATGGCGTACAAGAGAGTGTACAATCTGACTTTTGTTCGTTTGTGTTTGTGGACACACAGATATCTGCATAATTTTAAGATACTTCATGTTAAACTATCTTTTACATTCTCTTTTTCCATCATCTCTGAAATGTGAGACTAGTGGTTTCTGTATCATTAGGTTTTTTTGGCTCATTTTTCTGCACATTTCATCCTGTTTTTATTACTATAGTCTTGAAATATAGTTTGAAAGTATAAAGTATGATGTCCTGCTTTTTTCTTTTTCTTCAAGATTGCTTTGCCTATTCACTTTCTTGTAGTTTCATGTAAATTTTATGATTGCATTTGTTATTACTGTGAAAAAAAAACTGTAATATTAATAGAGAGTTCATTGAATCTGGAGATCATTTTGGATAATATGGCATTTTAACGTTTATTCTTTGAATTGATAGACGTAAAATATATTTAAATTTGTTTGTGTTCTCATTATTTTTCATTGATAAATATTTCACTTTAAAACTTTTTCAGCTCCTCAGTTAAATTTGTTCTCAGATATTTATTATTTTAGTGCTATTGTAAATAAGATTGTTTTCTTCCTCTTTTATCAGATAGTTTAAGTGTATGGAATCATAACTTGTATGTTAATTTTATATTTTGCTGATTTACTGAATGTATTTATTGGTTTGAAAAGGTTTTAATGTACTGTTTATGGTTTTTTGTAGAGAACATTGCATGATCTACAAACAGCAACATTTTACTTATTTGTCTTCAATTTAAATGACTTTAAAATTTTTTTGACTAATTTTTCTTCCACATCAAGTGTTGTGTTAAAATAGAAGCATTGACAATGGGCACAGTATACTTTTGCATTGGTGTCTGAATTTGAAGGAGTAAACACCTTTTAAAGTTTTTATACGAGGCCGGGCGCGGTGGCTCAAGCCTGTAATCCCAGCACTTTGGGAGGCCCAGACGGGCAGATCACAAGGTCAGGAGATCGAGACCATCCTGGCTAAAACCGTGAAACCCCATCTCTACTAAAAAATACAAAAAACTAGCCGGGCGAGGTGGCAGGCGTCTATAGTCCCAGCTACTAGGGAGGCTGAGGCAGGAGAATGGTGTGAACCTGGGAGGCGGAGCTTGCAGTGAGCTGACATCATGCCACTGCACTCCAGCCTGGGCGACAGAGGGAGACTCCATCTCAAAAAAAAAAAAAAATTAGTTTCAAAGGATAAAAATCTTTTGTTGGGCCTCCAGCGGAATAGAATGCCCTCTGGGTTTGTAGTAGAGCGGGGTTGTAGCTTGGCCACAAGGCAGCTTGCTCTGCACTAGAGTTGGCTTATTGGAAGGGGCTTCAGTAATTGTAATTCCCATTTTATTTTTGGACAGAGTAAATATCCTTCAGGACTTTGCTCAGTAGGGTAGACGGTAGGGCAGGTTTCTGCAGTCAGGTCTGCATATGGTGGGCTTTATATTAGGATGTGGATTAGTATGGCTTTCACCAAGTACTAGAGAGGATTTCTGAGGTCACTGTGGGTTTCTACATGGGCAGAAGTGGCCATGAACTGTGACTTAGGAAGCTGGAACTGCTATTAGGACCACAGTAAGGACCAAGGTCTGCCGCCCTGCGATCATGGGTCTAAATGGATATCTCTCTCCAGGCTTCTGAAAGACCAAGACCTCTCACAGACTGTGGCTGGGAGGAGTTTGGGATGATTACACAGTAAGTTCAAAATTCTCAGTGGGGCCAAGTTGGGTGGGACATTTTCTGGTCTATAGTCAAGAGCAGGGATCCTGTCGTTTGCCACCTGAATGAAAGCTTGCCTTCTGAAAACGGTGCTCCTCAATCTTGGGCTTTAGCAAAGTTTCGCAATTCCCTCCCAGGATCTCAAAGCTCTCTTAAAGGTACTTATTTTTGAGATGGCGTCTCACTACGTAACTTAGATTGGTCTTAATTTTGGCCTGAAGCCATTCTCCAACCTTACTGTACCATGTAACTGTCATTACAGATGTTAACCATGATGCCTGGTTCTCTCATGAAGACATTTTTGTCATGGATGACTGACAGACTTTCTTGGTGTTGGGGGTTAAGCAAATAGGAAACCTTTTTCTTTTTATCTGTTTCTAAGAGTGTAAATGCTTTATATCTATCTATCTCTTACAATCTTTGTCTTCTTGTGGCTGACTCATTTCACTTTGCATAATGTTATCAAGATTTATCTTCACAATTGGTAGAATATTTTCTGCTTTTTGAAAACTGAGTGATACTCCAGTATTTTTGTATTTCACATTTTATTTACTGAATGATTTGGTGACAGAAATTTGCATTGCCTTTACGTATTATTACAGTAATAATTATTGCTCTGTAAATGACTCCTCATATGACCATGTTTAAGTATATATATGTGTTGCATTCTATTTTATTAGTCTAATTTTTCATCTTTATACCAGATTGTTTTAATTCTGTAGCTTGGAATGTCTTTTGAAATCAGGAACTTTAATGCCTACAGCATTGCTTTATTATTATTATTATTTTAAGATTCTTGGGTGCTTTATTGTCTTTTGAGATTCTATATACTTTTAGGGTGCTGTTTCTATTTTTTCAAAAATGCAATGAGAAATTTGATTAAATTTCATTAAATTTGTAGAATATATTGAGCAGGATGAACCTCTTTACAATATTAACATTACAACCTTTGCATAAGACCATGCTCGAGTGTTTTGTTAAATTCATATATATATGTATATTTTTTTTGTTTGTTTGTTTTGAGACGGAGTCTCGCTCTGTCACCCAGGCTGGAGTGCAGTGGCCGGATCTCGGCTCACTGCAAGCTCCGCCTCCCGGGTTTACGCCATTCTCCTGCCTCAGCCTCCTGAGTAGCTGGGACTACCGGCACCCGCCGCCTGGCCCCCCGCCGCCTCGCCCGGCTAGTTTTTTGTATTTTTAGTAGAGACGGGGTTTCACCCTGTTAGCCAGGATGGTCTCGATCTCCTGACCTCATGATCCGCCCGTCTCCGCCTCCCAAAGTGCTGGAATTACAGGCTTGAGCCACCGCGCCCGGCCCTTGTTTTTGTTTTTTTGAGATGGAGTCTTGCTCTACCACCAGGCTGCAGTGCAGTGCCATGATCTCAGCTCATTGCAACCTCCACCTCTTGGGTTCAAGCAATTTCCCTGCCTCAGCCTCCCAAGTAGCTCGGACTGCAAGTGTGTGCCACCAAGCCTTGCTTGTTTTTTGTATTTTGGTAGAGACAGGGTTTCACTGTGTTGGCCAGAATGGTCTTGATCTCCTGACCTTGTGATTTGCCTGCCTTGGCCTTCCAAGGTGCTGGGATTACAGGCATGAGCCACCGTGCCTGGCATATTTGGGGTTTTTTTGATCGTTTGTTTGTTTTTCAGGTTTTGTTGTTGTTGTTGTTGTATACTCACATTCGAGTTTAGTCATAGAAAATAATTCATAAAATTTCAGTTTTAAAAAATTTGGTGAGACTTCTTGTTTGGCCTAAGAGATGGTCTATCAAGAAATATATTGTATGAACTATTGAGAAAGGTGTGTATGAGTGCTCTCTATACCTCTGTCAGAAATAGTTGTTTTATACCACTTTTAATTAGTCTGTTTCCTTATTGATATTCTGTTTTGATTTTTTATTATAATTTAAATTCTGGGGTACATGTGCAGAACGTGCAGGTTTCTTACATAGGTATACACGTGCCATGGGGGTTTGCTGCACCCATCAACTCATTATCTACATTAGGTATTTCTCCTAATGTTATCCCTCCCCTAGTCCCCCACCCCCTGACAGGACCCCATGTGATGTTCCACTTCCTGTGTCCCTGTGTTCTCATTGCTCCTCTCCCACTTATGAGTGAGAACATGCTGTGTTTCAGTTTCTGTTCTTGTGTTAGTTTGCTGAGAATGATGGTTTCCAGCTTCGTTGATGTCCCTGCAAAGGACATGAACTCATTTTTTTTTTATAGCTGCATAGTATTCCATGGTGTATATGTGCCACATTTTCTTTATCCAGTATATTACTGATGGTCATTTGGGTTGGTTCCAAGTCTTTTCTATTGTGAATAGTGCTGCAAAAAACATACGTGTTCATGTGCCTTTATAGTAGAATGATTTATAATCTTTTGAGTATATACTCAGTATTGGGATTGCTGGGTCAAACGGTATTTCTAGTTCTAGATCCTTTTTGCCCACTTTTTGGTGGGGTGGTTGTTTTTTATTTTTTGTTTTTTTTTTCTTGTACATTTGTTTAAGTTCTTTGTAGATCTTGGATATTAGCCCTTTGTCAGATGGATAGATTGCATAATTTTTCTCCCATTCCGTAGGTTGCCTGTTCACTCTGATGATAGTTTCCTCAGAGGCTCTTTAGTTAATTAGGTTCCATTTGTCAATTTTGGCTTTTGTTGCCATTGTTTTTGGTGTTTTAGTCATGAAGTCTTTGTCCATGCCTA